GAAGGCGGTCCCTCGACGAAAGCTCGGCCGATGTTTGGGGGTGGGAAAGTGTGGGAAGGTTTTGGGGATGTCATTGACGACGGGGGGTCCAGTCCATAATAGCACCTTATTGTCCGTCTGTCTGTCCTTCTGTCTGGCGCGGCTTGCCCATGAAGGGTTGGCTGCCATCTACTACTAACTGTCCGAACGTAAGGTACGGTGGTTGAGGCAAGCTGAAGGTATACAAGAGAAGGGATAGAAAGGCAAAGCAAGAAGCCGAGAGGGGGACCAATCGTCTTGTCTCGGACTGGCAGGCACACTGATGTTGAGCTACACCTTGGACTTTTAGGACTCCCAGATCCAGATGGGAGTTTGCTGCAATAACACACACTCACCACCACCATGCTGGCTACCTGAGTACTTTCCCACTGGGACCGCAGATATTGGGCCTGAGCCCAACTTCAGGCACGGGCGAGGCAGAGAAAGACGGGGGAACACGGGCGAATGGCACCACACCACACAGACACACACCCTAACGGCCGATGACTATTAGTGTGACTCCTCGACGACAAACACTGCTCTCTATAACGATCAAATCAAAGGCAAATAAGCCCAAGTGTCTGATCTGGTCCGATGTACCGGTCATCGATGTTTCCTGGGGTACGGAACAGAGTAAGACAGACAATTGCACCGTTTGCTTGGGGGGTTGTGTGAATTAGCCTTTGTCTCGATGTTGATATTCGGGCAAGGTATCCGTACTGTCTGTGTAAGGCGGGCAGTGGAGGACATTTTGGAGAGACGGCAAGTACAAGGCACCTTGTACCTGCCTCTAAAGGTATGTACCTGCCTCTAAAGGTATGTACCTGCCTCTAAAGGTACTTACCTACCGTTCCTCATCTTCACCTCAACGTACTAACTCGGCTTACCACGCTCCTTCCTTCCCGTCGTTTATTTCGTTCCCAAGTAACTCGTCTTACAGACTTCCAACGAGCTGATTAGAACAGGTAGGAAGGTACGCAGTGCGGTAAGCGCTCCTGCTCCGCGCTCCGCATGAACGATGGAGGCAGCGCCGACAGGAAGGAGGCAGGAGATGACACCGGGCAGGCAAGTGCGTCCTGGGTCAGACGGTCTTCTCGACGAATGGCAGGAGCGGAAAAGGTAAGGTAAAGGCAAGGCAACGGCCATGGCAAGGGGACTTCACTTGAGGCAGGCGTGGCACGATCCACCGAGGAAGGAACAACAGACGAGGAAAAAGCAACAAGCCGACCAGCTGGCGCCCCAGGGGACCTGTAATTCCACTCTTTCAAGTCTCCATTCCTACTCTCGAGTCTCGAAGGAGGGCAAGGGAGGCACCGAGGTCGAAAAAGAAGCAATAATGAACAGGTGAAGACGAGGGACTGCCTGCCTGCCTGCCTGTACCGATTTTTAGCGCTTGCCTCGAGGCGGATACCGTACGGCAAGGTACGTAATGGCGGATATGTCCTTCTCCTACCTGCGAATATTCGTACCAAGTTGAGTAAAGCCGAGAATAACACACCTCGTTCATGCTTCAATTCTTGCCCCGCCGCACAACGGCCTGGCGTTTGCTGCGATCAATGGTGATCAATAGACCAGAAACAAGAGACGAGTCTCGCTTTCGCTACAGTGTTCTGTACAGTCCATTCTCGAACGCATTTCTGCCATGCTGGATACCTCATCGCCAAAGCCGCACACACCCATCACACTGCATCGAACCGTTTCTAGATCAGCTTGTTGCCACACGGCCAGCGGCGTCCGTCGACATGTGCCGGCACCATCCCGGCCGGCCCCCAATTATGGCCCATTGGTCCCTTGGCCTCCCCTTTCGACACTACGTCCCAGGCCAAGTCCTGTCGACGTCTGTCACAGGCTGTCCTAGCGCAACGACTTACATGATCCATGATCAAACGCTTCTTATCCACCGTCTATTTTCCGCTGTTCCCACCCACGATAGCCCATCTTAACTCTCCAAGGAAGGAAGGAAAATGCCACATACAGCAGATACTACGGGGGGGATATGAATCCCGTGTCAGAGACGAAGGCCTCAAGCACAGGGGACGGAGCAGGATCCAAACCGTTACGTGATCGACCCAGTTTCTTGGGGACGTTCTGGGAATCGAGCAAGGTCATGGTTACTGTGTTAAATGGAGCCCGTCAAGCCTGTCTGCCCACCATATTCACGCCAGGCCACATGAAATACCTACATTCGACGGATACGTACTTGGATCGATGGGACTCACTGTTTAACACTATCGTTTTGCATTACTACAAGATTATGACAGTATATATAGACGTAACCTTACCCCTAGATTTCCGCACTATTTAACCTTAGCTCTTTTTATAAGTTAGCTTTCTTTTTCTTCTTTTTACCCTCTCCCCTCGTTAAAAGATTACTAAAATTATTATTTTAATAATAATAAAATAATTTTATATTAAAAATTTATAAAGGTTGGTTATTTATTATATTTATTTATTATTAAGAAGAATGTTATCCTAAATATAATAGTAGATATATATAAGATAATTAAATATTTGTTAAAGTTATTTATATTAATCTAATAAATAACTACTTTTTAATTGAATAATTATATTAAAATAGGTTATTATAAAAAGATTTTTATTTATATTATTAATTAAAAGTTTCTTTTTTAAAATAAAAAAAGTTCTTTATATATAATAGTAATATTATTGTTATAAGATAATTATATTTAATAAAAAAAAACTAAGTTCTTAAAAATAATATTTAAATTTAAATTTTTTTAAGTAATAAATTATAATAAACTTAATATCTTAATAAGAATTTATAACTTAATAGATTTAAAGGCTTTTGTATCTCTTAAAAAGAGTTTATTAAAAGAATTATTATTATTAAAGTTATTACAGTTAAAGCTATTAATATTAATTACAAATTTGAATAAAAAATCATTATTATTATAGTTAAATTCTTTTCTAAGTAAGTTTAAAAAAGCGTATATTAATTCAAGTACTAGGTAGGTATTATACTGTTTTATTTAAACTGTATTCTCGTACTTGTGACTTGAATGAAATCTTTTCTTCGATAAGGAGGTACTTGGGATCGATGGGACTATTTCATCACCTCTCATCTCCTATACCGATAAGTCACGCACGGGCACGATTCAGGATGCCAAACATGGACCACCAGTAAGCCTGTCTACTTCGAGTAACCCGGAGCGCTGGGTCGGAGTCCTGCGAGACAACGAAAGGCTGGTCAAGCTGGCTGTTGGTGCGAATACAATCTACGGATATCAGTACGAAGTACAGGACTGGCACTACTGGCCTCAGCTGAGAGGCTGGTTGGTGGGTGAGCTGCGCCGGCCCTGCGCCTGATCGTCAACCTCCCTTGCCGATGAGGACGTCACCAGCCGCAGGCCAATCGCAGGTGTCAATAACCCGACCATCGACGATGCCCCCAAGCAACGTACTCAGACATAGGTATTGGAGGCTGCTACTCCAACTCGTCCCCCAGGGCTTGTCCGCAGATGCGAGCTGCGAGCAATGTGCCAAAAGACCCAATATTGATTTTCGTGGCAGTTTCTCATACAAGTTGAGCTCCGCAAGAAGCACCGGCCGGCAACAACGTCAAAACAGAAAATCAACGTCAGCGAGCCACGAATTGCCCAGAATTATTCTTTAGTGGTGGATCCTACGGTACCGACGGATGGAGATGCCACGAGATGACTGGACAAGGCTGCCGCACACCTGCCTCTAAGCTGCCATGCTTGACTCATAGCCAGACATTTAGTGTCGGGGACAGGCCTGCCTGGCCTGCCTGGCCACCCCATGCTCCATGTCAAAGTCTCCTGCACACATCGGCCACTACCCGTCCTCGGTGATTGACCGTCTTCAACAACAAAGACGAGATGCAAGATTATTGCTGAAAGTAAAGTGCACTTTGCTACGAAGACAAGCAACTAAAGCGACGGCTAGATCATTGCAGGGCTTTCCGAAGTGGCCGAGTCAATGGTAAATCCCAACTATCAGACTGAAAGAAGGTGGGAGGCTACGGAAGGGGTTCCGAATCCTTGGTGTGCCAACCATCACCACCCCAGCAAACCTCTCCAGTAACCAGATCCAAGATTCGATTCCGGTCTGTCACTTTACACAGCAGACGAGAGAGAGAGAGAGAGAGAGAGAGAGAAAGGAGATGCGCCTCGGACGATGTCTGCTTGCCACCTGAGCTTCTACGCATATGACGACGGTCAAGCACTCAAGGAACTCAAACCGAGCCCAAGGTGACATCCATGGAAATTCCCAAGAAGCCTGTGGGAACGTCGGAAAAGAAAGTGGCAGAAACAGGGTCTCTCTCAGCTCTGCAACCTCCGGGCCCGCAGCGAGGAAGGCGGTCTGGTCTTACAATACTTGCATGTCTGCTTTCGGGGTCCTGGGCTGGGTGCCTTACCCACGACGTTTACCTCATGGTGGAGGCAATGGCACGCTGGGAACACGGTGCAGCGAATACATGCAGAAGCGGAACAGAAGCAACACCCCACCACCGACGCCGGTCCACTCCGGACCCGACGAATGACAGTTTCGACAATGGCACCCCCCCCAAAGGCCAAAGACGCAGCCAAGTCCAGCGTCGGGACGCCAGGTCTGTGCCTCGCTACGATATCCTTGCTAGCCGCGACAACTAAAACGAGCCTAACGCTCGCCGTGCACACCCTGCTGCCTTTTTCCAGAATTCGCTCCCGCTCCGGATGAATTCACCGTCGCATGGGTGGGCTGCGCGAGGCACTTGACACTTTGCTACTCAGGGACATGGTTCCTAGCGTTGGCTGGCTGGCAGAAGCAGAGGCTGGCAAACCCCAAAGCCGCCTACGAACACCGCTCCTTAGCGCCGCATGCCTGGATCCCAATTTCGCCGACATTTCTGACCTGTCTCAGAGAAGAGGACCGTTTGTAACGAGCAGTCAATCGTCACTACGGATACCTCGCACTTGAGAGGAAAGGCGGTGTGGGACGTTTCTCACGGACACTTTACCTACCACGGTAGACGGCCGCCTACGATCTACAGCGATTCCGTACAGATGCGCATTTTCCCTGGCCCATCAAGCACAGAACATGGGCGCGTCTGAGGAGACCGAGGCTTTTCATTTCGCCTGCAGACTGATAAACGAGTTGCAGGTAGAGGAAGCTCCGGACAACTTACAAGCAGGAAGAGATCGACCCTCGTCCGCAGCCGCCGGTAGCGAGAATCAACAAACGCATACACCCATCAATATCTCAACACTAAAGTACCGCTGCAAACGGCGCCCCGGAATACTCGATGCATCATTGTCTCGTCTCGAAAGCTTTGGGAATAGCCTTTCCCCATTGCTGGGGCTCGCCGCAACCTTCATCTCAGACAGGTAGAGCTTGAATTGGCAAAGCGTTGAACCAACTTTTCTGCCATGGTTTCCTCCCGAGACTGAGAGTCGACAGGCAACGTGGTGCAGGGCAGTGGACCAAAAGAGTCGGAGATCTCCAGGGGATTGACTCGCTTGTCATCTCTCCCACCAGATGAAGTGCACATGGGCTTCGAAGCGTGCCCGCAAGCTACCGGATCTCTGTGCGATCTTGAGTTTACACCTCGATCTCGAACCCATCCACTTCACTCCTACCTAGGCTGCACCCTCGACGATATGCCCCGCTGTCGACCTACGCTGCATGTGATGGCCGTGGCCAGAAGCATCATATTGTACGATTTTCCTCGCCGATCTTGTTCATCAAAACCGGCTTGCCACAATCGTCTCCCCGCCGACCCGACCAACGTTTGCAAGGAGCAATCCAAGATCCTGCGTACGCCTGGCCGACGAACCACTAACACTGACACCACCACCCACACTTCACCCCGCAGGCACGGAGTCCCGAACACTCCTCATGTTACACGACCCGGCCGAGATCGCGGAGACGGCTACGGTAACGTCAGCGTTTGTCCGCCGTTCGGCCGTCCACCCAGATGGCAATATGTTAATGCCAGGACGGGGTAACGCTTGAAATGCCGCAATCTCGATACTGCATGGTCGGCTGTCCATCACTCTTCACCGGCCCACCTGTGGATACACATGGTTCTGCACACGAGCCGATATTTCTCCCTTCGAGTAAGAGATTATTGCAGATTCCGTGCCTTATTGCTATTGAGCCTTGTGGCTCCTAAACTCTCTGGCTGCATATCCGTAGTCCCTCAGTCATCACACACCAAATGTTATTTGGGACGCCCTGGACTCTAGCATAACGCTGCAAAACCGAGGAACAGTATTGACCAACCGGAAAGGCATGACCTCGGCGGTTTGCGAAGGGCCTTGGGCATATCCTCACGGGAGCTACGGGTAGGGTCTGCTCTCAGATATCCAAAGACATCTGGTTTCAACAGTTGTGAATTACCAATCATTCCTGGTCGTTGAGCGTACGGGTATAGCGAGGTAGCAACTTTAGGACCCATGGGGACTTCTTGGCGCTAAAGCCGAATTACTCTGGATAGGTACGAAGTACTCCGTACGTAATGTCTTCAACGCCGCCGTGTTCGCTTCAAGCGAATGACTCGGCGCCAACCGATCTGAGAGCTTCGGACCGGACTCGCCCAGGATGAAGCCTTGACACGATATTAGGTAGAGAGGACATTGCTGAAGTAGGCCCAATAACACAAGGGGTTGCCCTCAAACAGCCTCCGCACAACGACAGTCCATGATGCATGCATGAGGCATGATTCAGACCAAAAGAGGACCAGAGCCGAAAGCCAGCAGTTCGGACGACTATACGAATGAAGCAACGCTGTGGATGACGAGCAACATTAGAAATGGAGGTGCTAAAGGGGCGCACGAAACGAATATACCAACAAAGACGTCCTTCGACAAGGAAGACGCAGCCTCTTGAGGCTAAGTGACGATTTAGACCCGGATCATTTGCCGTGGCTTCGAGCCTTCGAGTATCCGTACTCCGTACTCCGTATGTACACCCAAAAGCTAGAAGTCGCTCGGTGACTCGGGCTTTGTCGGGGGCTGAGGACAAACGTGGCAGGCGGGAGCGCACAGAGGACCCTGGCCCTAGCGAGGATCGTGGAAGGTTTCTAGAAGACGGTTCGGGCTGAAGAATGAAGCGCACAGAAATCGCCCCCGTCCCTTTCCCTTTCATCAAGACCTCGTGAGAACGGGCCTCTGCTAATTTACTACGTAGGTAACCTAGACCTGGTCTGTGATTTCGTTTGCCATTACAACACACGTATCTGTAGACTGCGTACAACGGAGTAATCCACCGTCCAACCAGCGGTGAGGATTACGGGGCGCATCTGTATTCTGTATGCAACGCATAATAGCGAGGACCCTGAATCGGGGCGGGAGCTCTGTGGCATGTGGATATTGGTGGACTGCATGACTTGGACCCTGAGTATCTCTCGAAGCTTTGAAACAGAAGAGCACCCGAAACTCGACGAGAGTTAAGCTACGGAAATTTGGCCTCCTATATTCTCGCGCCAATGTACCAACAGCACCGCCGCTACCACGCTGGAATGGATTTGTGTTTTGCCGGTTTGGTATCACTGGGACGCAGCCTTGAGATGAGTTTCTGTCACCGCCTCTGAATGCTTGTCCACACACCGCCAAGATGTGTTGTCTGACACTTCTGTGCTGAACGTTCACTTCAGGCCGGTCTTGCGAACCTGCGAAGCTTGCGAGGGCATCTCACGCGTTTTCCCAGGCATCTCCAAGCGGCGCTCTTTGCGGGGGGGGGGGGGGGGGGGGGGAGACGCCGAACACGGCGGGAACAGACTGGCAATCAGATCCTCCGTATATGCGATTCCTTTGCCAATTACCTAACAGTAGTATGAAGCAAGAGACAATGACCTTTGTAGCCAGCTAACATCTCACTAGATGCTTTTCTAGTTGTTACAGACCACCATGCAACACGGCCGGACTCTGAGCCTCCACTTGCGGACAACTCATCGCTGCAGAGCGGTCAAGAGTTGCGAAGAAAAAATCACAATAAAATAACAGCCATATTTCTAGTGCGACCTCGGACCAATCTTCCTGGCGCACTCTGGCTTCGCAACTTCAAGAAGGACATTGCCGCATGCGCCTGGCTAGCGCGCAAATCACAGAAAAGCGAGTGGTAGAGGTGAGTGGGAGTGGTGCCAGAAATGCAGATGACCAACATCAGGCCACTCCCATCCTTACAGAGAGCATCTGGCGACTATTCGTACCTTGCTTATTCGTGTCCGACGGGATGTGCGTACGCGGATATTATGGGGCACCGGGCTGAGCGTTCGGGCGCGGCCGGTGAGAGAAAGGGGCCGTTTTACGGGGATTCTCTGTAGTCAAAGGAGGTCCCCCTCGGCAGGTCGGATTCGATGGACATGAAAGGTAGCATTTCTTGCCGGGCGCTCAGGCCCGACCAACGCGGGGGGAGAGAGAAGAGAGTTGACAAGCTGGATTCTCCAACCCGAAGGCGGCGTTCCCGTCATCAGGAATGCAGTGGACATAAGTCGGCGATCTCCAGGTCCGCAGCTGAATGATCCCCGATACGCGAGTTATTTCACAGCAGTGTCTACTTGAAGCTTCGGGGGAGAAGAGGCGTTCGGCGTTTGAAATCCCATGATATACTAGAGCCTCGAGCAAACGGCGAAAATGGGGAACTCTCTGCCAAAGTGGTCAGACTGACGACCGATTGGAATGTGCTACGCCTCGTCCGGTTTTTGTGCCTCTGGAAGAAGCGGTAGCCAATCAGAAGAGACGAAATTGTTCTCTCTCGGCTTACTCAGCCATTGCGGAAATTTCTCGGTGTTTGCTGAGGTGAGTGATTCCGCGGGAGGGCTCTAGAACTGTGATTCTGTGAGAGCCCGGCCGCTGAAAAGCCGCTTTGCGGTGCCGCGAAGGGCGTTGCTGAGAGCAGGGCCAACACTTGCGGGACGGCAAAGACCGGGCAACCAGGGTCCATTACATCATGCCGTAGCGACGACCTCATGGCACGATTCTGGGTCCCATGAGAGCTTTTTTCGCCCACGCGGCGTCCCGTCCACCAGGTTTTCAATCGCCGTCTGCATCTGTCATCAGCTTTGACATTTCCATTCATTGGATATAAGGCCATTGGCACTCGTCTTCAGCCTCACGGTTTTATTTTCAGCTACACAGAACATCCGCCAAAGACTCAAGACACAATCCAAAGAGTTCGATTGACCTTAGCGAAAACGAGCACCACTAAGCCTTACCTCTCTTAACTCCATTCAAGGTAGCTTCGAATCCCGATCCGTCATCCATCCGTCACCAACCACCACCGTAATTACGACATTACTCTCTCTCTCTCTCTCTCTCTCTCTCTCTCTTCACGAGCACCACCGGTTCAGATCCCGACAACACCAAAACCTGCAAGGCTGCGCACCTAAACCAACCCTTTTCGCAGCTTCAATTCTTTCCCCTTTCCTAGGAACCATCAGCCGTTCCCCCCTCTCTACGATCCGAAAGGTCCACACTTTACACACCACCACCACCACCACCACCCCGCACAACCCGCCGCAACCATGAAGGTCCTCAGCAAAGAAGAGGAGGCCGAGCACTACAGCGTCGTCGTCAAGGCCGGCCTCATCGGCGGCACGGCCGGTCTGGCCGTCGGTCTCGGCGGCGTCCTCTTCGGAACCAAGCGCTACCCGTCCTTCCGCCAGCTCACCCTCCCCTTCCGCTCCTTCCTCGTCACCTCGTCCGCGACGTTCGGCGCCATCGTCCACGCCGATCGCGAGTCCATCCGCTACGGCAAGGAGAAAGACCCCATGTACGGCTACCAGGACGCCACGGCGCGCGCCATCGCCGAGGCGAAAGCCAACGAGACGCAGATGCAGAAGCTCAAGGAGTGGGGCCGCGAGAACAGATACTCCATCGTCTTTGCGTCGTGGCTCGCGTCCATGGGTGTCGCGCTCGCCATCGTCGGCAAGGACAAGTACCTCACCGGCGCGCAGAAGCTCGTTCAGGCGCGTGTGTACGCGCAGGCTCTCGCCGTCGTCATGCTTGTCGTGACCGCCGCCTTTGAGATGCAGGACGCCAAGACGGGCGCCGGCCGCTGGGAGACGGTTATGATTATCGACCCCGAGGACCCGGAGCACAAGCACCTTATTGAGAAGAAGATTCACAAGGAGGAGTATGAGGGTCAGGACTTGTGGAAGGGTACGTGCCAACATTCATCCCCCAAACCTATCTCCCTGAGCGGGTGATCATCCGATCTCCATTCTTTGCTATCTATCGGAGCTCTTTTACTGACGTCCCTTTCAACAGATATGGTTGCCGCCGAGGAGCGCCGCATCGCTGCCCGCAAGGCTTCTGAGCAGAAGTAAACGTTTTGACAACGTCACACGACCACCTATATATCCACCTATTTCCATGGACCTCACAAGGGTTCCCTGTACGATTTATTTCATATGTCTTCTCGCGAAGCAAACTTCCCCCAATAGATATCTATCTCTCGGAGTAAAGG